TGTCCACACTAAAAGCTGACCAAAAAGCAGATTTGTGGGCAAAAGCAATGTAGTTTGTTGTTTTGAACCACTCGATCTTCAGTAACTGGAACCAGCCCTCTTGAGCAATACTCCCACTCCATCTGTAAATGCCTCTAACCATGGCTTACACCAGCGTTATCTGATCACTGATGGCTTTGGCTTCCTATCAGAAGCAAGGAATCTCATCTCAGTGACCCACGTCTCACACAGAAAGGGGCTTCCATAATGATCATCCTCAATAATGACGTCCAAAGAGAGCCAAGGAAATGAAGATAGTGTTGGATCTGTCATCACAGATTGCTGGGGCTCAGGGACCTGCTACTGGCTGATCAACATCCCCAACCATCCTGAGAGCAGCCAGCAGTTCCTGCTTTCTGTGAGTATGGTCAGCACTGAGAGAAGAGCTACGAGTGCTTGTGTGGTGACTGATAAGCTCTTGCTCCATTCAGGCCCAAGGACTTGATCAGACAGCACTGTGAGGCATTCAGAGGGAAACTTATGTGATAAAGGCCACAACACTGAGGAGACACTTGGAGTTAGATGACAAGGAGGAAGCACCAGCAGCTGTGACCTGGACATACTTCCTGGGGACATGTGGCCACTGCCACTCCTGGTGGTGTGTCTTCTGTTCCACAGGGGAGAGGCAGGTGAGTGACTGTTCCCACCAACAGATGCCAAGCATATCCCACACAGGCTCAGCCCTGCTCAGACACTGCACTCAGACACATCTTAGTGCTGGTCCGTCCCAGGAACTTCTGAACTCCAGGTCCAGCCTCCATCAAACACGAGCAAAGCTGATGCATGATGAAAACTCAGCAGGAATGGCAGGGCAGAACGCTGTTCTCCATGAGGGCCAGCAGGTGCTGTTCCTCCCCAGGCCCTACCCTCGTCATCTGGAAAGTGGGTTCTTTTACAAAGGCAACTGGAAGGGGGTTGGAAGAAGGGAATGAGAAACAATTAATTCTCAAGGAAAGGGAAGCTTGGAGAAAGGGGCTGACTTCTGAAATCAAAGTAGGACCCACTAGCTTTCTAACTCAATGTCCTAAAATCTATCCTCCAGTTCCACTGCCTTCTCCAAGCTTTGTCACTCCAATGCTGCCCAGGAAAGAAGCTAAGGATCCAGTTGATCCCAGAGCTGGCGGCATCCCATTTCCCTTAACACTGATGTTCTGCTGGTTCACTCTCAAGGTCTCTCTGGTAAATTTTCAGTCAATGGGCACAGCAGCTTTGGAAGGCTCCATCTTACCTGCTGCTCAGAACCTACCAGGACTATCCCAACCTACCCTCCTCAGAGGCTAACTGGGAGTCATTCCTTTGGGCAGACAAGGCATTTACTGGGCACCTATGACCTGTCAGGCTCAAGCAGATACAGAGCAAACACAACCCAGGATCTTGAGCTCATGTTCCAAATATTACAGCAGCCCAGTGAGGTCAGGATAAGATGAGGAAGGAGAGGACCCAGAAAATGTAAGGAAAAGGGTTTTCCAGGATCCACTGGGCCTTCATCTTTTGTTCCAAACACCATTCCTGTCTGCCACACATGTGTCTGCAGGAGGAATTAAGGAATGAGGACTGCTCTTCTCTTTGTCAGAGAGAGAATCTGAGTCTGGAGGGTCACTAGGCAAACCAGGGTTGCAACCCCAGTAACCTGTAGGACCCCCGTCTTGGTTGCTTCTGGCTGCTACAGACCCCAGGATCTGCCCTCCAGCTCCTTCCCACCCTGCTCTCCTTTGTCCCGAGTTCCCTGCTCCAGCCTGTGACTCCATGAGCATGGCAAGCAGGGTAGAATTCTTCTTTCAGGGAAAATCATCAGGGGCCATGAGGCCAATCCTTATTCTTGTCCCTATCTGGCATTTCTTCTGATCCAGACTCCAGAGAAAAGAAAAAGCTGCGGGGGGGGGGGGAGCTCCTTGTGTGTGAGGACTTTGTGCTGACAGCAGCCACTCGCTGCTGAGGAAGGTGAGGAGCAGCGTGTGGCCCCACTCTTCTGCCCACACTTCACAGAGAACTGCCTTCTCATGGGCTGCAGAGCTAGGCCACCAGGTAACACAGAAGAGCCCCTTCAGAGGACAGGGAAGCTTTGGGGAGAGAGGAACAGGTCAGTTCAAGGGGCCTGTTGAAGAGACAGGCTGGTCGAAAGGTGGCATTGGGAGGAGGCTGAGGTTGTGCTCCAAGCCCAAGTGCACAGGGGAGAAATTCAAGGTTTTGATTAGACACAGGCAACCTCTGTACCTTGATGAGCACCCACAGTCTGCTCCAGGAACTGCCACCCAGCATGGAATGCCAAGAAGCAGAGGACACGGGGATGCTCAGCCCCAGGGCCCCACCCCTGTAATTCCTCCCCACTCCAGTCCAGCCATGTCCCAAGTTGTCCTGCCTCCTTCATGGCTCCTGGGGTGCATCTCCTGTGACTGCACGTCCCACTCTGCTCTGTGCAGCTTAACCCACTTCACTCTGAGGCTCCACAATATCCAGGAGCAGGAAAGGACCCAGCAGGTCATCCCTGTGAGAGGAGACATCCCCCACCCAGACTACAAGCCTAAGAATTTCTCCAAGGACATTGTGTTACTAATGGTAGGGCACATTGCCCCACTGGTTCTTGCACACTTTAATCCAGAGGTTATTGCATCCCCCACGACCTCCATCCCTCCCTCTTTCCCAGCATGACCCCTATACTTGTCTCAGTGCAGTGGAGAAGGCAACCCCATGATGGTCCCTGGAGTCTTTGTGAATTCCTTTCCTCTGCCTTCAGCTTGAAGAAGAAGGCCAACCTGACTGCCTTTGTGAGCCCCTTCAGGCTGCCCAGGAAGAGAGAACTGGCAAAGCCAAGGACGATGTGCAGTGTGGCTGACTGGGAGCACCTTGGTGGGAGTACTCCCTCGGCCATAAAACTGTGGGAAGTAGAGCTTGATATCCTCAGGGATAAGCAGCGCATCTCTCACTACAAAGGCATTCGTACAACATTCGAAGGCATTCATTACAACACCGTCACCCAGATATGTGTGGGGGATGCAACAAAGAGTAAGACTCTTTTTAAGGTGAGATCCCTGGCACTGTCCCCGCACAGCCTGGGGTATAGCCAAGCTTGAGGAGATCTGGGGCAGACAGAACTAGCTATCTCCTTATGTACTCAGCCTTGTCACCAAATCAATCTGTGGTCCTGTCACCCTGCAGGGATAGGAGCCGGTCACACAGCCACTTATAGGCAAAGTCTTCCTGGGGGAGGAGAAGAAGGGAATTGTCAGGGCCAGGCTAGGGCCCCAGAACCGAGGAAGGCCACAAAGGCTGTCCTGACCCACATCTCACTCACAGCCCCCAAACAGAGACCACTCAACTGCAGGGCATAAGGGGGAGGAGGAGCAGGAGAAGCCCCAGCCCAGCCCCTCCTCCCCTGCCCACAGGGGGAGGCTAGTGGCTCCCTTGTGAGAAACAAGGTGGCCCAGGACATTGTCTCCTTTGGAAAAAAGAATGAGAAAAACCCACCTGTCCACACCAGGACCTCGAGCTTTCTACTCTGAGGAAAAATTGCCTCCAGGATTCATCCATCCATCTTCTCTGGGACAGAAGCCAGAAACGCACTGGGTAGAGGAACATGGAGGGGAGGCTGCCAGGGACTTAATGAACTTCCATCTTTAGAGTGGAAATCATTAATTCTTTCTTTATTCACCAGCATGTCCTAGAGCCTATAGCGTATGGAGTAAATTTGTCAACAATATCTGAATCTTGTATATAAGAATGGATTGAGAAAGGTAAACTCATTTGTAAATCATCCACCTTAGAGAAGGCTGGACTAGAAAGACGTTGTCTGCTGAATGTTTGCCACTGATGAGTGTGCTTCAACTACGGGACAATGTTTACTGGGTGGAAAAGTAACACATGTTCATCATAGAAAGACAGTTAAAGGAAGAACAGACAAACAAGAAGGTTAAAATTCCCAAGAATATCACCACCCCGAGATCATCATCATTAGTGCTTAAGCAGGCTGCCTTCCTCTCTTTTTCTGTGTCTTCATAACATTCTGTTGCTTTAACAGAATTGGGATCTGGCTGTTTAGAATTCATAATGTCTTCTTTTCCACTACTCCCTCATCTGTCATCATACTGGAGAGGATGTTGGGATAATCTGTTGGAAAATATTTATAATTTTTTGGCCCAGGCACATCAAAGCCAGGATTCACTGGACCCGGGACAGAGACTATTTAATGAATAGTGATTATTAGGATGATCGGCATCCACTTTCCCATCTGACATCAGTAACCAGCATTTCTCTAGGGGAACTCCCTCCTCAGAAAACAGACACTCCGATTGGGGTGGAACAATCCCCCCCTCAGGTCCAGGGGTGCTCAATGACTCAAGAATAAACCACTTAGGCATTCAATTCTGATGGACGCAATGGGATGGTTTGTTTTAGTCCCATGAATATCAAGTCCAGGATTTTATTCAAAACTGTGAGATAAAGGAAGCTCTCTTTGTCACAGCATATTTACATTTAAAGAGGGGATTCTAAATATTCCAAAATAGGAAGCTGAACTTGTGGTCAGAGAGGCAGTGAGGTTACCACTGTGGGTGTCTGCGTGTGTCCAGCTCTACATGCCCCTAAGGCAGGTCCAGAATCTATCTCCAACCACCAAGCTGACCCCCACCACAGCCCCTACTGGCCTACACACTAACCACAGATTCTCAGTCTACTCAAGGCGACCACCATCTTCTCAAGGGCAGGAGACATCTCACTCATCTCCTTGGACCTAGCTTCCTAAATAGTTATTCATAACTTCATCAGGATGGAAGAAGGAGCCAAGAGCTAAGAAATGGAGACATTCTAGATTCAGTCAGTGAGGGGCTTCTGGAGTCCAGCTCCTCTGCTGGCTGCAGCACAGGCTTCACTTTCTTGTTCTTTCTTCTTGCTTTCACACTGTGACACAGCACTGGGAGTGCAAGTGTGGTTGGTGACAGTGCTACTGTCACCTAAGCCAATCCAGAGAACTTTGACAAACCACATTGCAGATGACACAAGAAAACCAGAGGAGCACAGGTCTAGGAGGTCTGTGAGGTCTTGAGCCACCCCTCCTGCCTTCCCCGTGGGGACCTTGTGTCTGGAAAGAAGTAACACCAGCAGCTGTGACCCCGGCAGACCTTCGGGAAAGATGCGGCCACTCCTGCTTTTGTTAGCGTTTCTTCTGCCTCCTGAGGCTGGGACAGGTGAGTGACCATCCCCATTCCAGAAACCCCAGCCCATCTCACAAAACCCTCTGGACTCCTCACCCTTCTGCCCAGCACAGTCAGGGATTTTCCACAGTTTGAGTCGAAGAACCTTCTAGACCTCAGCCTCCATCCCAAACCTACACTAACAAGTCTGATGCTGCATAGACACTCAAAAAGGATGGCAGGAAGGAAGGGTGTTCACTAGAAGGTTTAGTATGTGGGCCTCTCTCTTATCACCTGGGAAATGGATCCTTCACAGAAAGGCATTTGGCAGATGACGGGAAGCTACAAATGACAAGTAATTAAAATCCCTCACTCCAACCCAAGAAAGGGCAGGTCAGAAAAATCGATTGCGGTAATGAGAATTGTCCTGGACCCAGCTTAAGATTCAGTTTCATTTCCTGGTAACTTCACCCACTCACCCCCGCCGAGGAGAGAAGCCCAGGGAGCAGCTGATCTTTGAAGGGGCTGGATCACTGCATGCAGGGCGCCCCGTTTGCGTGGCTCTGCCGTGGTCCTGGGCAGTACATTTTCAGCCCCACCTCCCCCTGCCATCTCAGGCCTTTGGCTGCTCCACACAGTGTCCCCTCTCCAGGCCAATGGCCTTCAATCCCACCAGCACGATTCCCACCAAACTTCAGCCTAAAGCTAAGTGAAGGATGTTCATTCATGCAGCCACAAAATGTCTGCTGAGATCCTAGGATGGGTTAGACCCTCAGACATGAGGGTTGTAGAAAATCCAATGCCATAAGCTCACGGATAGATTATTAGATAGGGTACCAGTTGACACATTAGCAGAGGCTCAGCAGGCTTGGGAGACGCACTAAGACAGAAGGCATAGCAGAGGCCTGTCCACGATCCTCTGGGCTCCTTCATTGTGAAGACAGCTCTGATCTCCTCCATGTATGGTCTGAAGCAGTTCAGGGACAACAGATACTGTCCTCCCTTTTCTCACAAGAGGTTCTGAGGCTTGACATTCAGAAAAGGTTATTCTCCTACTAGGAGAACCTGGAAGGACTCTCCCCGGTGTCTGCAGGGCACTGTAGACACTACCCTCAATCATCACCTTCCAGAACCTTCCCTCCTGACCACAGCTGCTCCCAGAAAGCCCATCTTCCAGTCTTTTCTTTCAGAGGACATCATCGGAGGACATGAGGCCAAGCCCCACTCCCGCCCCTACATGGCATTTGTTCAGTTTCTGCTTGAGAACAAAAGGAGGTGTGGCGGTGTCCTCGTGCGAGAGGACTTTGTTCTGACGGCTGCTCACTGCCAGGGAAGGTGAGGGCCACAGACAACTGACACCTCCTGAGACCCCTACAGGGAGCCCTGTCCTCTGCCCAGGGCCCACAGCCCAGGGGAGCTCCCCTGACTCCTGTTAACTCAAGGCCGTGAGATCCTATGAGAGGAGCCATCTGAGAGCATGACTGGGTGATGGAAAGTGAGAAACAGGACGGGTAAGCTTTGGGGTCAGAGGGTCTGAGGTAAGAGCAAGTGGTCCAGTTGAGGAGAGACACCACACTGGCCAAATAAAGCAGATGGGGAGGATGAAACCATGCATCAGGGTCAAAATGTGAATTCAGAGAATTTTCACAATATGACTTGAGGGCTAGAGAAAGCATCCAGGTGACCTACCCTCAACGTCATTGAGAAGCACAGGGGACACAGTCACTCAGTGCCCAGTCCTCCTCCTGTTTCGATTTCCACTGGCTGCAGCCCTGCCCTGCCCCACGTCACCCGCCCTTCATGGCTCCAGGAATCGATCTCTTTTGATTCCATGCACCCCACCACCTCACTCTACTTTCTATGCAGATTAATGAATGTCACTCTTGGGGCCCACAACATCCGGAAGCAGGAGAAGACCCAGCAAGTCATCACTGTGAGACAAGCCATCTGCCACCCAGACTATAATCCTAAGAACCTCTCCAATGACATCATGTTGCTAAAGGCAAGGGAACCTCCCCGCTGCTCTTGCTGTCCTGGGTCCAGATTGTTTCCCCTCCCACTGGGACCTGTCCCTCCCCTCCTTCCCATCCTGGCCACCTGCCTAGTCCCAGTGGCTCGGGGGGAGGGAATTCAGTGCAGCCGCATCGTGGTCTCCAGGCCCAGGAGGCCAGTGGCTGAGCTGGACTTTCTTGCCTCTCCCATCAGCTGGAGAGAAAGGCCAAGCTGACTTCAGCTGTGCGGCTCCTCAGCCTGCCCAGGGGCAAGGCCCAGGTGAAGCCTAGACAGGTGTGCAGTGTGGCCGGCTGGGGAAAAGTCTCCCCAGTAGACAGAGTGTCCGACACACTGCAGGAGGTGGAGCTGACTGTGCAGAAGGATGATGATTGTCACTCCCACTTCCCCAACCATTACAACCAGTCCACCCAGATTTGTGTAGGGGACCCGAAGAATAAGAAGAACAGCTTCAAGGTAAGGTTTCCAGCATCCACCAAGACAGACCCGGGGAGAGAGGAAATGGGGAGATCTGGGGGATGGGAGTGGCCATATCTTCTTGCCTCAGCCTGAGAGCTTGGGCAGCCTGGGTCCATGAAAGCAGTCTTTAGTTTTTTCCCCACAGCAGATCATGGCTACAGGGTGAGGAAGGATCAGTGACCCCACACCAGGGTTCTCACCCCAATTTCCCTGAGGATTGAAGAGAAAGTCTTGGCCTGGGTGGAGCTGCAAAGAAAAGTCAGAGCCAGGCTGGAGTCCGGGATGAGGGAGTTGACAAGGCTGCCCTGGTCCTGGTCTCCCACAGACCACTGACCCCTGGGCTGGAGGGAAGGGTAGGACCACAGGGAGGCCAACTCAGTCCTTCCTCTCTCTGCCCGCAGGGGGACTCCGGAGGCCCCCTCATCTGCAACAAGCTGATCCGGGGTATTTTCTCCTATGGACAAAACAACGGGAACCCTCCAGGAGTCTTCATGAAGGTCTCACACTTTCTGCCCTGGATAAAGTCAACAATGAAGCGCTGCTCATAGCAGCTGTGATGCTGACCTTCCTCTGTGCCTGACCACCTTTTCTGGGGCAGAGGCAGGAATCCCGTGGGGCGGGCAGTGGGACTGCAGGGCCGTAATAAATGGATCTCTAGCGAGTGTGACTGAAGTCTCACTGACTCACTGAACCACTTTCAACACACAGCAGCATGCTCCAGGCAGCCCTCTGCTGTCAGTTGTGGCTGTCCTTCCTCCATCTCCTCCAGCTCTCCTTCCCCCTAAACCCCATGCTGTATCCTTTCTGAGTCACAGCTCTGTGGTGCTGAGCCCTGTGCAAGGGCTGAGTCTGAAGGCTGCTCAGTATAAAAGGATGATCTTCTTCCGCAAGATATGTTCCTCCCTGGGCTTTAGAAACTTCTTACCTTCTCTAAACCAACCACCATCACTGACACCCTGACAATTTGGCAGAGAGAGGAGCAGGTCAGGGGAAGGGGAATAACTCCAGGGAGACAGGAGGCCAGGGGGCCAGGCCGTGGGCACTCAGTTTCCTGTTTCCAGGGCTTCTGTCTCCAGTGGGGCAGCCTCTCCCACAGCCAGGACCACCTGCAGCTTCTGACGCTCAGATGCTGCCATGATGGCCTCCAGCCTCACTCGGGTCCCATTTCCTGCCCTACCCTGGGCCCAGAACTGAGCTCGCTCAACCTTCCTCCCAGGCTGACTGTCCCACACCAGCGTCTGTTTTTCTTCTGACTGCCCTGACCACCAGCTTCTTTCCCTTCTAGCCCACCCTGTTTTGAGCCAGCCTCTCTCATCTCCCTAACCAAGTTCCCAAACTCCAATGTGAATTCTCCTCTATGGCTTGTCCCTGTCATGCCTGAGCTGCTGGCCCACCTGATGCCTATCAGAGGACCCAGTACCCACTTCCCACCTGAACAGAGACAGTTCAGGTCTTCCATCCAGCCTAGCATTCCCAGGGCCATATCCACAATGTCCTTTGGAGTCACTCAGCAGCCTCAGCCCCTTTCAGCCTGGCCTGTCTCCCCCTGCTGGCAACCTGGCTTATGGCAGCTCAGTGTGCCTGAGGGCTACAGGGCTGTTGGGCCAGAAAGTACCACTTGGCTGTCCATCAATAAGTCAATTGCTGATCTCTCTCTTTGTGCCGGACACATAACAGGCTTTGTCCCTGATACTGGGAAACTTTCATGGAGGGGAATTTCCTCTAAATTCTGCTGGTTCCTCCCCTTCCCCCAGGCAGGTCAGTTTGACAGATGAATCGGTATTTGGAATCCACAAGACCTCTTGCCTTGAAAATAATTAAATTCTCTGTATTTTATCTGTATTGCACGTTAGAGTTTCATATGAGTGATCTTGTTTGATTCAAGAAGGGCAGTGTGAAATTGGAAGAGACTTCGAGACCCACAGGTCCTGAGGTTCCCAATCTGTGCTCAGGGGATCCCATGACTGGACAGGGCGGAGGGAGAGAGGAAAGAGCCACCTGGGCAGCCTTGTTTTTATTTATTGACATGTAGAAGGCATGAGCCCAGTGCACAAATGCACAAAATGCCACATTTCAAGTCAAGAGCCTTCACTGTGATGAAAATAATAAGAATAACGAGAAGCTTTCACATCTTGAGGTAAGTGGACAAACTGTTCTCGTTTAACAGTGATTCAACCTAAAACTTGTTTTCCCTAGAGCAGCCTGACTTATGACCCACCAGACACTGTACATCTGCTTCAAACATCTTCCCAAAGCAAAGAATGCATTCTTTATTTTATTTATTTATTTATTTATTGAGGAATATTAGCCCTGAGCTAACATCCGGTGCCAATCCTGCTCTTTTTGCTGAGGAAGATTGGCCCTGAGCTAACATTCGTGCTCATCTTCCTCTGGTTTATATGTGAGACGCCTGCCACAGCATGGCTTGATAAGCGGTGCGTAGGTCCACACCTGGCATCCAAACCACGCTCCTGATGCATAACGTGCGAACTTAACCACTGCACCACCTGGCTGGACCCAAGAATGCAGTCTTTAAAGACAGGGATGAATGTCTCTCTTTCTCTGACTCCAATACCAGCAGTTCTTTGAAGATAATCTCTTCTTCTCGGAGCACGAAGGTCAAGTTGACCTATTATGTATGTGCTAAACTACAGAAAAACATATCCTTGTGACTTGGAAAAAAATTGCATTCCCATGCTGCTTCATGTATGTTCTTGGTTGTGAAATGGTCTATAGCCATGCTGTGACCACACTTCTCAGGCGAGTTTTCCTCCCTGATGGAGACAGCACTTCCGGGCTAGTCTTCAGCAATGGCTTGATAAACATCACTCTATCTCTCTTATCTAAAGATTAGTCATTGATTATTTTTGTCACCAATTATGACCCAGATGACCTTACTTTAAGATTCCGTATCCTGCAAACAGCACCACCGATAAATTGCATGTGACAGAATGCAACAAATTCATGATAGCTGGACAAACACTGAGTCAGTTGGGACCAACACCAAAAAGAGAAGAACCATCATGGAGAAGAATAACAAACAAATCCCACAGATATGAAAAGGAAAATCCAGCACATTGAAAACTAAGATGAAAAGCAAAGAAAGCTTCTTTTTCCTTCAAGACAGTCCCCATGTCCATCCGCCAAGCATTCTGTGGGACCCACAGCACCGGCAGAAGCACAAGCAGAGGCATGAAGGAAGAGCTGAATGCACGTGCGGAGATGAGCAAGTGAACAGTAGAAGGGGCAGGAGCCAGGGGACAACTTCGGGTCACAGCGATAAAAAGAACACTCTTGGGAGAAGCTGTCACAAGAAAGAAATGGACCCCAGAACGTCAGCCATGAGGAGCTCCATTTAGCCCCAGGGTGTAAGCCAGAGCCAGTAAGAGAGTAGCCAGGGATACTCGCCACCAGGGGCTTGGGTGTGTGGCCTTGACGGGCAATGCCTGGTGGGTCAATTCCCCCTCTCACCTGATAAGAGCACTTAACATAGTATGACACACGTTAGGAAGCAAAATGATGACCTTCTGATGCCTGTAGTATCAGGAAGACTGGGATGTTCTTGATGGTACTTGTTTCCTTAAAATGAATTCTAAGTCAGTTTATATCTATTTCTCCTTTTGATCTAGTCATTTTTCTTCTAGGACTTATTCTTACACAAGGTCTAAAGTATAGGAGTGTGTGTGTGTGTTAATAAATATGTTCATCACACCATTATTTAATAATAAACCCCAAACTGGAATCAGTATTAATCTCCAAAATAGGAAACTGGTACAATATGGCACCTGCTCATTATGGATTCCTCAGCCCTTCCCATCTACAGTATCCACTGCTGTAGATAACTAGGCTAAGAACATTAATAGGTAAGTTATAAAAGAACTAATCAACATTTGGAAAAAAGGAGAAGCTCAATTATTAATCAATGCTAATTAAAATGTTAATAAATTTTTGTTTGGCTAATCAGGAGGGATTTACAAAAATAATGATGCCTACATTCGGTATGGACATTGAGAAAATGGCATTTTCGGACCTTGTGCACAAAGGTTCATAAGAATAAAAGGAACAAAGGAGTCTTTCACCTGGCCTTCAAGCACAATGAGAGAAGCGGACAAGGTTATTCCTTACAGATTTGTTACAAAAGCCAAACCTTCGAAACAATGCCAACATTCAGCACCAATTTGGGTATGAGCTTTTGAAAAGTTTCATAGCAGTGAACACTATGGGAAGTTGAAAGTTTTGAGACTGAATTACGGTTTTTGCAGAGAAGAATGTTCACCAGGTATGTTTAAGCCAAATAAGTTAGAGATCCGTATATACTACAATCGTACCTTTGTTTATACTTATATTTTCCTTGTAGGTTTTTTTAATCCAACATATTCATTTTCAGAATTTTTCTGCGTTATTTAGATAACTTAAAAGCCTATCAATTAAATATCCATGATATCATTAAATGATTTTCAGCAATAGATTTTTAATAAAATGAGGGAAATATTTATGCTGAATCATTTAAGCAACAGGTTGAAAAACTAAACATATTGTGATCAAACTGAAGTAAAAATACACATAGAAAAAATCTACGTGGAAAAACTTCTGTTAACAGTGGTCAGTTGGGTGGTGAGATCAAGGATGACATTTTTCTTCTTTCTGTTGTTTAATTTATTCTATATTTTAAACTGTATACTGATTAAAATAATTTTATTTGTATCAATATTACAATTCAGAAAAAGGTAGGCTTCAGGAAGATGGCCCATGTGCTAGTTAAGATAAGTTTAATTATTCTAACTGATAAACTTGAGCATTTCAGTGACTAACACAACAGAAGTCTATTTCTTGCTCACACACAGTCCAAAATGAGTTTCCTGGTGCGTGGTGCCCCTTCTTTCTCTCAAGTGTCCCATTTTGGACAATCATTACATGGTCAACCCATGATTAAGGCACTAAACTCAGTCCCCTTAGGGTGGCATCCGTGTTCCCCATGTTCACCTGCATCAAACCCTCGAAGGGGAGGAGTCTACACGGTCAGCACAGGACTGTGTTAGGGGCCTGGTCTGGAAGGTGCCCACAGCATTTCCACTCACATCCCATTTGTGGCGACAGTCACACAGCCACACCTGACCTCAAGTGAGGCTGCACAGTGTGGCTGACCTGTGTCCCCTGGAAGAAAAGGAAATTGTTTTATTAAACTGCTAGCTCATCTCAACCACGATGCCTAATAGTGTTTGCTGCTTATAGCGATCATGAGACCTGAATTTTTTTCTGCCTATAAAACAAATACATTTCAATTATAGAAAAAAACTAGATAACATAACGGTGAAAATAAGAGTCACATAAAATGGTTGTTCTAGTTCTTATCTTTTTCTTTAACAGAATTAGTATCAAATTGTGTACACCCTTCTACAGTCTACTTTTCCACCTGATGTTAGATGATACAAACTTCTCCATGCCACTGAGCAGTCTCTAAGACATGATGCTTTTGAACAGCTGCACAGCATTCAACCCCATGAATGCATCACAGCGTGTGTCACCACTCTCCTATCTTGAATATTTGGATAGTCTGAGCGTTTGTGGAAGAGGGTTTCAGGGACTATGTCCACCTCCACCTCTTCCTATATTTACTCAGGGCCCTAGGATCAGCTGCTCAGTCTCAGAAGTGAGCTTTTCTGCTAG